GGCTGGGCAGGGCTGCGGGGACTCGCGAGCGGGGTCCGGATCCGGGGGTCGGGCTGGGCAGGGCTGCGGGGACTCGCGAGCGGGCGCCGGATCCAGGGGTCGGGCTGGGCAGGGCTGGGGGACTCGCGAGCGGGGTCCGGATCCGGGGGTCGGGCTGGGTAGGGCTGTGGGGACTCGCGAGCGGGGTCAGGATCCCGGGGTTGGGCTGGGTAGGGCTGCGGGGACTCGCGAGCGGGGTTCGGATCCCGGGGTCGGACTGGGTAGGGCTGCGGGGACTCGTGAGCGGGCGCCGGATCCGGGGGTCGGGCTGGACTGGGCTAGGGGACTTGCGAGCGGGGTCCGGATCCAGGGGTCGGGCTGGGCAGGGCTGCGGGGACTCGCGAGCGGGGTCAGGATCCCGGGGTCGGGCTGGACTGGGCTAGGGGACTCGCGACCGGGGTCAGGATCCGGGGGTCGGGCTGGGCAGGGCTGCAAGGACATGGGAGCGGGGTCCGGATCCAGGGGTCGGGCTGGGCAGGGCTGCGGGGACTCGCGAGCGGGGTCAGGATCCCGGGGTCGGGCTGGGCAGGGCTGCAGGGACTCGCGAGCGGGGTCCGGATCCCGAGGTCGGGCTGGGCAGGGCTGCGGGGACTCGCGAGCGGGGTTCGGATCCCGGGGTCGGACTGGGTAGGGCTGCGGGGACTCGTGAGCGGGCGCCGGATCCGGGGGTCGGGCTGGACTGGGCTAGGGGACTTGCGAGCGGGGTCCGGATCCAGGGGTCGGGCTGGGCAGGGCTGGGGGACTCGCGAGCGGGGTCCGGATCCAGGGGTCGGGCTGGGCAGGGCTGGAGGACTCGCGAGCGGGGTCCGGATCCAGGGGTCGGGCTGGGCAGGGCTGCGGGGACTCGCGAGCGGGGTCCGGATCCAGGGGTCGGGCTGGGCAGGGCTGCGGGGACTCACGAGCGGGGTCCGGATCCAGGGGTCGGGCTGGGCAGGGCTGCGGGGACTCGTGAGCGGGCGCCGGATCCGGGGGTTTGTTCTGTCCGCTGCACCCGGGGCTGCGACTGCGCAGCGGTTGCGGTTAGACCAGGGGCCGCGGAGACCCCTCCCCCCAATCCCCGGGCGCGGCCGCGGGCCCTGGAAGCCGGGAGCCGATGGAGCGCTGGGTCTGCGGTGCGGGAGGAGGCCCGCGTCCAAGAGTGTGCTCATTTCGTTTGATTAGAAGCAAGTAGTGCGAGGAGAGAACCGCGACGCACAGAGCGGCGTCATATCGTCCGGGGCGGGCGGCCCCGCGGCTGCAGGAGCTGCGGGGCGGTGCGGGGTGCTGTGCGAGTTGTGCGTTTTACCCCAGTGTGGAGACGCCGTGAAACCCACCGGCAGGCGGCGGATCCCAGAGCCGCGGCACCGGGAGAAGTGGCTTTTCCAGGCCGGAGGTGGGGAAGACGTTTGAGATCGGAGGTCGTTGGGGTGTCGGGCGTTCGGAGGGAGCTGCCTGCCTGTCTTGTAACCGAGATGTCCGTGCGTTCTCAACCGGCGCTGGCGCAGGGCCCCGGCCGCTTCACAGCGCACGCAGGTCGCCCGGGCGCGGCTCTGCGTGCGGCGGCCCTCAGTCGGTCCCGGCTGCACACCTGTGTCCCTAGATCCCACAGTAGCCCTCCCCGCTGCACACCTGTGCCGCCAGCAGCCGTCTCCGCTACCAGACTCCACCCTGTCTTTGGGGAGCACTGGCCGCTCCCATTTCAGGACCGAGAGCTTGGGGGTGCTCGGCAGTCGTGCAGGTTTGCATACAGGTCACAGCCTGGGTGTCGGGAGGGAGCCCAGCTCGCGCCAGCTGTGATGTCGGGGCAGTTCTGGCTGTTGGGGACCGAGCTGAGTGGTGAGCGGCCCGTTAGGAGTCAGCTCCCATTTGCGAAAGCTCTGCCCTGGTTCTCAGCGTCCCACCAGCTGTGCTGTTTTGTTTGGTTCGATGTGGGCTTTTATGACTCAGATTCCCAGCTGAAGCTGGGAGGCTGGGTGATGAGAGCTCACCTGGCAGAGCCACACTTGCTTTGGACCCAAACCCAGCCCTTCCTTGTGGGTGGTTGTCTGGGCGGTGGCCGGGTAGTGGGAGGCAGGGGAGGCTGCTGGACACCGAGTGAAGGGAGTGAATGGAGCAGCGCAGCCCACAGCCCTGCCCACAGCTCACCAGGCGCCTGCGGGAGCCTGCTTCCTCTGTGTCGGCTGTGAAGCCCCACGCTGTGAAATGTGGGGCCTTCTGCTTTGCTGGGTCGCTGAGGGGTGTAAACATGTGCATGACGTTTTTGAAGGAATTCGGGCACTGGCAGCTGTACCCGACTTGAGAGCACTTGGGGGCTGAGGAATCATTTGTTAAATCTGCAGGAACTGCAGGCGCCTCGGCTCAGTAGGCTAATCCTCCGCCTGTGGCGCCGGCACACCGGGTTCTAGTTCCCGTTGGGGCATCGCATTCTGTCCCAGTTGCTCCTCTTCCAGTCCAGCTCTCCGCTGTGGCCCAGGAGTGCAGTGGAGGGTGGCCCAAGTGCTTGGGCCCTGCACCCGCATGGGAGACCAGGATAAGTACCTGGCTCCTGGCTTTGGATCGGCGCAGCGCACCGGCGGTAACAGCCATTTGTGGGGTGAACCAAAGGAAGGAAGACCTTTCTCTCTGTCTCTCTCTCACTATCTAACTCTGCCTGTCACACATAGAAGGAAAAGCCAAAATTTGCTAAAAAAAAAAAAACTGCAGGAACTGCTATGAAACAGGCCTGGGGGTGTGTGTGGAGCTGAGTGGGCCTCTAGCACCCGCCACCAGTGCCGTCAGCCCAGGGCACCCTGTTCAAGGTGCCGTGTGAGCCAGGCCCCCACCCTGCCACTGGATGGGGTTGAGTCAGCCTCGCCTGAAAGCCACCTCTCTGCCATCCCACTCTGAACTTGAATTTGAGCCCCGGCACTCTGTAGCCCCTGACTTCCTTGCTGGAGTCCCGGCACTGGAAGCGGGAAGCTGGCAGCAGCCTCCTTGTGGCCCCGGGGTGCTTGGTGAGCAGCAGGGTGCTGGGTGCCCCCTCACTCCCTCAGGCAGCTCTCGGAGCTCTGGACGGCTGTCTCTGGCATGGTCCCGTCTGTGGTTTTCCTGGGCAGTCAGGCAGAGAAAAGAGGAGGAGTTGTGTCACAGCTCTGCTTCCCTGGCCCTTCTGTACCCCTTGTGTGGGGTCCAAAGATGTCAAACTGGTTCTTGAAGTTCCTTTTCTTGGGTTCACAGCCTAGAGTGTTGCTGCCTAGCTGGAAGTGCTGTTTTGGGTTTTTATTTGTTTTCTTTTTTCTACTAGTATAAAAGGTGCACATGCATTGAGCACCTACTGTGTACCCACCAGAGTGATGTTTCCTGCACAGCATCCTTGAAGGCAAGGAACTTTCAGTGCCATTTATAAATGAGGCAGAAACTGCTTCATTCATTTTTCATCTCTGAAAAAATTGGTGGAGTAGAGCGCTTGTCTTCCAAATATTCACTGTCCTACATGTGCCCTGCTCTGTGTGCTGCACCCTGGAGGCAGAGGAGAGAAGTATCTTCAGCAGTGGCCACCCCTCCTCCTGGCCAGAGCAGGGCACCGGCACCCAGTGGCTATTCTTTTGGTTGTCTGTGGGAAATGTGGAATTTGGGGAAGCCTGTAAGCATAAAGACAGAGGAGCAGCCTTGGGTAGATGGGTAAGCAGAGGCAGGGGGATGGGCCCCACAGGAGGCACTTTCTGCACAGGCAGAACTGAGGCCGGACACCAGGGCTTGGGCCCACAGTGCCGGGCCAGTGTTGGAACCTGGGGGTGAAATAAGAGTGAAGTTGCAGAGGAAGGAGGGGCAGTGACCACCGTGCTCTTTCCCCCCAAGTCCTAAAGCACCATCTCTGGAGGGAGCCAGGTCCAATCCTTCCAAAAGGCACCGGGACCGGCTGAATCAGGAGCTGAACAAACTCACCAGCTTGCTGCCCTTCCCCGAGGACGTGTGCACCCGGCTGGACAAGCTGTCCATCCTCAGGCTGACCGTGGGCTACCTGAAGGTGAAGGGCTACCTCGCAGGTAAGTGGGGGCTGCAGCTTCAAAGCAGAGTGTCGGAGGCTCTGAGCAGAGTTCTGTTCCTGCGTCTCGGGCCACACAGTGGTGGCCCCGTGAGACGGAGCGGTGCAGTGGGATGTGCAGCCTGACAGTTTCCCAGAGGAGCTCCTGCTGCTGCAGCCCTGTGTGGGGCCACTGAGATGGGTTCTTCCGGCTGTGGTTTACCTGGAAATGTCTTTATTTTGCCCATTTTTTCCCTCAACATTGTATTATGAAAGATTTTAAGCATATAGGAAAGTTAAAAAAATTGTAATGAGCATTCATATACCCACCAATTAGATTCTGCAAATAGCATTTTATTAAGCATTTGTTTTGTCATTTATCTAGCTAGCCAAATCTTCATTTTTAAAGGACTATTTTTTTGCTGGATATAGAATTCTATGTTGATTACTTTTCTTTTAAAACTTTAGATATGTCTTTTTTTTTAAAAAAAAAGATTTATTTATTTATTTGAAAGAGTTACACAGAGAGAGAAGAAGCAGAGAGAGAGAGAGAGAGAGAGGTCTTCTATCTGATGGTTCACTCCCCAGTTGGCAGTAATGGCCGGAGCTGCGCTGATCCAAAGCCAGGAGCCAGGAGATTCTTGTAGTCTCCCACGTGGGTGCAGGGGCCCAAGGACTTGGGCCATCTTCTACTGCTTTCCCAGGCCACAGCAGAGAGTTGGATTGGAAGTGGAGCAGCTGGGACTCGAACTGGCGCCCATATGGAATGCTGGTGCTGTAGGCTGGGGCTTTAACCCACTGCACCACAGTGCTGGCTCCAAGGAGGTTATTCTTATCGTTGTTCTCCTGTGTGTGATACACCTTTTAATATTTTTCCTCTTTATCTTTGGCTTCCAGTAGTTTCTGTGTGATTTTATATATACTTTTTTTTAATTTTAAGTTTTATTTATTTATTTGAAAGGCAGAACTACAGAGAGAGAGAGAGTTGGGGTCTTCTATCCACTGGTTCACTCCCTAAATGGCTGCAACAGCCGGAGTTAGGCCAATACGAAGTTAGGAGCCAGGAGCTTCTTCTGGGTCTCCCACGTGGGTGCAGGAGCCTAAGGACTTGGGCCATCCTCAGGTGTTTTCCCAGGCACTTTGGCAGGGAGCAGGATCTGAAGTGGGGAAACCGGGACTTAAGCCGGTGCCCATGTGGGATGCCAGCACTGCAGACGGCTTGCACCGGCCCCTCTATGTACTTTCTGATGAGGTTCACAGATCCTCTTGAATGTAGATTTATATTCCTCATCAAACTTGATAAACTTTTGGCCAGTATTTCCCCAGGTATTTTACTTTCCTCTACATGGGGAACTTGGTTACAGTATTCTGTGCACTGGGTGCTGTCCTGCAGGTCCCCCGCCCACCCGGGCTCTCCCTCCTGCCTCCCTTCAGTGCTGTGCTTAGGGTGGTCCTGCAGGGACCCCGCCCTGCCCTCTGCAAGTGTGCTTGTTGCTGTGCAGCTACCACCCATGTGTTTTTATTTTGGATATTCTGTTTTCAGATCCAGGGTTTCTCTTTGGTCATGTTTTACAGCCTGAGCTTTCAATGATGTGATCCATTTTACCCTAAGGATTAGGGTTGAGAGCTTGACTATCTAGTATGGTAGCTATTAGCCACATAGAGTTATTTAAATCTAAACTTATATAAATTAAAATCCAGTAGTTAGAAGTTTAACTCCCTGGTCACACCAGCCGCATCTCCACGTGTGGCTGGCAGTGGCCACACTGGACAGCAGGTGCTGAAGATTTCCATCATCACAGTCTCCGACTGACCAAACCATCTCCTCTGTCAGTGGTTTTGTCTTTGCTGTGATGGGAAGAAAACGTGCACCGGGCTTATGCAGGAGAGAGGCCACTGTGCTGTTACCAGTTCTTCCTTACACTGCCTTGAAAGAACTTTGGCAATGGGAAGCTGAAACAGGAGTCAGAGGGCTGAGATTTCCCCACCACATGGCCTTCCTCCATGGTTCTTGTTCTGGGGACGAGTAGATGTCAGTGTTTCGAGACTTAAAAAAGCAAACAAAGCCACTACCAATAGGATTGGAGTTGTGTGAGGATCACAGGAGCCATATAATCACGAACAGATGATTGGATAAAGCAGATGTGGTTTAGGGATGCATTGGAGTGCATTTCTGCCACAAAAAGAGTGAAATCTTGACCTTTGCAACAAACGGATGGAACCAGAGACCCCTGTGTTCCGTGAAAGACACAAAGACACATGACGCATTTCTCTCTCCATGTAGAAATTAAAAACAACAGCAGTAGTTTATGTGTAATATATATGCACACTTGATCCAGACTTAAAATAGTGATTACTAGAGGCTGGGAAGTGGGGGTCAGGGAGTGGCTGGACAGTGGACCCTGGAGCTCCGTGGGTGGACTCCAGAAGTCTGGTGCTTGGCAGATGGTGGCTCATGGCACTGTGTGAAGAACTGGGACAGAGGAATGGGCAGGTTGCAAGCACAAAGACAAGATGAGGGCGTGGGGAGGCTGGGTGCCAAGGCGGTTGGTTTATCTGCGTATGTGTTGAGAAGTTGACCATGCCCCGTAAATGTAGAAGTTTCACATGTGAACCCTAAACTAGAAAACAACTTTAAAGAAACTAAAATTTGACAAGGATGACCCTGAAAATAACCTAAGATCACGAAACATTCCCCAAATACAGTGATAACTGTGGAAAGTGGCAATGACAGATCCAGCTGGGCTGGACGAGGCGGGGTGCCCAGCAGTGGTCAGACACATCTGAGCTGGGGTCAGAGGCTGCGGGGAGGAGAGGGAGGTGTGCTGATGAACAGGCCAAGGTTCCTCTCCTGGAGATGACAGAGTTCAGAACCACCCTGGGGTTGGGCCTGCACCACTCCAAACACACTGAGTGCTGCAGAGCTGACCTTGTGGGAATTCCACTCAGCTTTTAGACACGCACTGGAAGTCTGCTCCCTCTTGACACCCTTGGAGGGGGCCCCAGAAAGTACCAGAGCCCAGGCTTTTGCCTGGGGGTGGGCTCAGCCCTGGGAGCTACACAGGCCCTTGGCTGCAGTGGCCAGCTGACTGGTCACCTTGGGCAGTGGAGTTGAAGATACACAGATGTGGATGCAGCTGCTTCTCCTGGATTGAGATGGGCTTTCTCCAGGCAGCCACAGACTGCCACTGTCACAGCCCTCACAGCACCTGCCAGAACCGGGCCCTGGCGTGCTCCTGATAGGGTCTAGTCCTGCCTCAGAGACAGAGCACGTGTTCCCCTGCACGAGCTGCTGCGGGGGTCCCTGAGCCTGTGCATTCCCTCCAGCATTGCCCACATAACAGACTTCATGACTCCGGACATCCAGCCCTCACCAGGCTCCAGGACCCAGAGTTTGGGTGCGAATGTGTTCCTCCAGGGCAATGAAAAGGGCAGTGCTGGGCAGGGCATGGAGCCAGCAGGGAGCCAGTGCCATGGTGGCTGGTCAGGCAGAGCACTGCCAGGCGGCACAGCAAGGAAGCAGCTCCTTGCCCAGACCTGCAGCACGGCCTCCACCTGGCCCCATAGCTGGTGCTTGGCAGACCCTGAGTGCAGTCTCACCCTGGGGTTCATGGAGTTGGTCCAGGGTCAGGGAGGCCCATTGGGTGACCTGTGTCCATGCCCTTCCCCACGGAGGGGTACACACACCCACTCTCACTCACTGTTTGCTCCAGGCCAGGCCCTGTGACGCTGTTGTGGAGACTTCCCTGGGTCAGCTCCCCCAGGCTCCTGCACTTCTGTGACCTTCCCATCCATCAGACAGCTACGCTGTCAACTTTCGTATCTAAAAATCACAGCCCAGCTTTGCAAAGGAAAAGCCGGTGACCTGGGCCTGGGGAGAGGTGAGTGGGCATCCTGGAGATGATGCACAGCCTGCCTGGGCCACGCCCTGTCCTGGGGTACGCCTGTGTTCGGGGGCAGGAGGCTCTTCCCCCACAGCCACTGATGCTTTAACAAGGACCTGTGCTTTCTCATGACTGACAGCAAGTCAGAGTCAAAGACTTAAACATAAACCCACAGGTTCTGATCATCTCTTTCACCTAAGCACAGCACCCCAGGCAAGGCGTGAGCCATGCAGTGGCACCAGGGACTGTATCTCTGGCTCTTGCCTCTCAGTCACCAGGTGACGTCCCAGCTCCAGCTGTTGTGCTGTGCTCCGAGTAGGAGGAAGGAAACCAGGAGTGAGCGGTGATGCTGACGTCCAGCTGTCCCTGGCCTGTGTCCACTTACGTTCCATTGGCTGTCAGCCCTACATGGTTGTCTACTTCCAGGGAAGCCCAGGAAATGGAGTTTCTCTTTAAGGTAATATTTTCCTGTTCACCAATCAGAGGCTTTGTTGCCACGAACCTGCCTTTCAACATGACAGCAGTGGGACTGCCGTCCAAGCTCAAGAAAGGAAAGGAGGGGAGGAACTCAACAGCAGCAGTCACCTCCCCTTGCTTCCTCTAACCCAGACCCAGTAACCTGGTTTCCCACTAACTAGAAATGAGCCCAGGCCATCTGCATCTATTTCTCCTCAGTATGGCTAAGTTGTGAGGGTCTTACATGCAACCACTGGAAATAAATTCTCTCTCTCTCTCTCTCTGATTTATGTATTTGAAAGGCAGAGCAAAAGACAGAGTAGGGGAGACAGAGAGAGAGAGATCTTCCATCTGCTGGTTCACTCCTCAAATGACTGCAACAGCCAGGTCTGGGCTAGGCTGAAGTCAGGAGACAGGAGTTCCATCCTGGTTTCCCACATGGGTGGCAGGGACTCAAGCACTTGGGCCATCTTCTGCTGCCTTCCCAGGTGCATTTGCAGGAAGCTGGATCGGAAGCAGTGTAGCTGAGACTTGCACCAGCCCTTCAGTGTGGGATGCTGGCATTGCAATGGGTGACTTAACCTCCTGCACCACAACATTGCCCCTCCCCCATCTCATCTCAGTGACCTAAACATAAGAAAAGTACATTATCTCCCAGGGTGAGGCACTCTTGGAGCGACAGAGAGCCTGCCTCGCCCTGTCAGCAGCTCCCACCCCAGGACTACAGGAGCGGAAGGCCCCTAAGCTGGGTCTCTGCCAAAGAAGGAGCAGTTTTCCTGAAACCCCTGGAGGTTTCCCTTCATCTTTCCATCTGTACACATCGTCCACGAGAGGCCCAGCCGTGAGCATCTGTCACAGCCGGGGAGTCCTCTGTGGGAGGGGCAGAAGGAAGAGCCCAGCTATGCTGCCTTCTCTCCTTGAACAGAGTGATGCACACTTAGTGCTGAAATCTCCCAGTGCACAAAAGGAAAGAAACGAGGCTGTAACCCAGGGCCCCAGGGTGATCATGATAACTGCATGTATCTGGCGTCACTGTGTGCACACGTGCATTTTACAGGTTACCCCGGAATAAGGCTCAGGGCCTGGAGGCCGGTGGCTCTGCAGGGCTGCTTGGAACTGACCAGGTGACCACAAGGGCTTCCAGTGCCTGCTGCAGGGACTCTGGTGCTCGAGACAGGAGGTTAGAAACTTCGCTTCTGGTCGGCGCCGCAGCTCACTAGGCTAATCCTCCGCCTGCGGCGCTGGTACTCCAGGTTCTAGTCCCAGTTGGGGTTTCAGATTCTGTCCCGGTTGCTCCTCTTCCAGTCCAACTCTCTGCTGTGGCCCAGGAAGGCAGTGGAGGATGGCCCAAGTGCTTGGGCCCTGCACCCGCATGGGAGACCAGGAGGAAGCACCTGGCTCCTGGCTTTGGATCAGTGCAGCACGCGAGCCGCAGCGTGCCAGCTGTAGCGGCCATTTGTGGGGTAAACCAACAGAAGGAAGACCTTTCTCTCTGTCTCTCTCTCTCTCACTAACTGTCAAAAAAAAAGAAGCTTCGCTTCTGTCATGGGCATCGGCAGTGATGCCATGCGGCTTCTTTTTCAGGGTTGCAGGGTTGAGCCTGAAGACTCAGGATTTCTTGAATCTGAACTGTGACACAACCAGCCTGTCAATTGTTTCCCTCTCTTGACAGTTGATGGATTTTCTCCAGTTATCAAAAAAATAGAAAGTTAGTGTTGGGCTTGTTTTGCAAAGCACAGCAGAGTGTGTGCTGAGCCACAGGGTCTGGCTCCTGGATGCACTGGCTGCAGTTGGATGCAGGGAGCCCGCAGGCAGGAGGCCCTCTGTACTCTCTGGGTGCCCATCAAACTCTGACAGTGTCACCAAAACCTTGCTGCCACTCCTCATGCCTTGAATTTTCTGAAGTAAATAAAATGTAAGAAAACTGAATGATTGTGACCATGATGAGAGCTTCCAAACAATGTCATCCCTTCATTTTTATAAAGTTCTTATTTTTAAATCACTTTATTTTCATTGTCTTCATTTGCGATGAACCTTTGTTTTGATTTTAATTCATGCGGAGCTGGTGGTCCACAGACCCTGGAAGCATGGGCACGGGTCTGGGCGACAAGTTCCTCAAAGGCAGGGGCGTGGCTTGTTCATCATGGAAACTCCACCTCGGTGCTTGGCAGGTGTCTGCTGAGTGCTGCAGAATTGCGTGGGTTTCCCAGACGCCTGGGCCCAGCCCAAATGTCATGCTCTGAAGAGAAACATCCTGGGTGTGAGGTTGCCGTGGTGTGGAATTCCTTCCCCCGCCTGTTTCCTCTCCTGACAGCCAGGTAACCTGGAGCCACCCAAGGCCACCCCGGGCCAGGGCCCAGGACCTGGAGGCAGGAATGTCCGTGGGTTCCTCGGGACTCTGTGATGGCAAAGAGATGTTTTTATGCTACTCAGCAGTGAAACGGTTCATGGAGCTGTTCACACAGATCGCCGTTCCCTGACTTCAGGCCACCTGTGCTGACTTTGGTGTCTGCCTGGACCAACACAGGCAGCTCCAGCACCCCACAGGTTTCTTTCTAAGAATCAGACCGAGATCACCAGCCCTGAGTCAGCAGATACACAGTACACTGCCAACAGTGGCTCTGAGGTCAGAGGCGCAGGAGACGAGGCAGCCACTACTCAGCAGCTGCAGTGGGTGAGGCCGCTCTGAAGAGGTCTCCAAAATTCCGCACCGAGAGCACTGCACCTGCTGAGTTCCTGGCAGAGAACAAGAGTGTCCTGTTGGGAAACAGGGAGGAGGTGGGGAATGGAGGCTGTGGTCGGAGGGTCACTCAGAGCCGCACAGCTCCCGAAGCAAACAGAGCCACCCAGAGCACGCCTCCCAGGCTCCCCCGAAGCCACACGGACATGTGACAAGGTTCTGAGCAACAGGCTATAAGCAAAGGAGTCATGTGGCCCCACCCTCTCTTCCGGGATCCTCTTACCAGAATCAGAACTGGGTGGTGCCTTGAGGCCACGCTCAGGAGCGCAGAGTGAGTGACACAGAGCTGGGCACGGTGAACCTCCTGCGTGCTTTGATGCACAAGTCTGTCCTGGTGAGAGAGGACGAAAGGAAACTTATCCTGAAAGCCAGTGTTATTTTGAGAATTTTGGTTACACAAAACCAAACAGAATCAACTAATGGTCATGGTCAGGACTTAGGATTTTGTGCATGATATAAGGCCATTGGAGAGGTGATTTTTTTTTTAAGATTTATTTATTTATTTGAAAGTCAAGAGTGTCGCTCCCCGTCTTCGTGGAGGAACGACACAGGACCCTACATTGTTCTTTCGTCTGCTCGGCCCTCCCTGGGTTTGCTGCTGGTTCTTCCCGGGTTGGCTACCGTCCCTTCCACCTCCGTGGAAGGGCGGTTCCCCCTGCCACTTTCCCCACTTCCGCGGGGGAGCGGCACACCGCCGGCCGGCTCTCTCGGGGGCTGCACAGGTGTTCCTTCATATAGATGTTCCCCTTAGATGTTCCTGGTGCATGTTGTCTCTCTCCTCCTTTATAGTCCTCTTCCGCCAATCCCAATTCGGCTGCCCACACGCCGAGTACGCTGCTCTCCTCCAATCAGGAGTAGGTCCTACAGTTTATTGGTTGAACTGGAGGCAGCTGTGTAGAAGCTGTTTCCCCCTTCTCAGCGCCATATTGTGGGAGAGCAGATGCATAGAATAAGTCTTAATTCCAGTAACTTAGTCTAGTCCGGGTTGCTCCCCACAAAGAGTTACACAGAGAGAAGGAGAGGTAGAGGCAGAGGCAGAGGCAGAGGCAGAGGCAGAGGCAGAGGCAGAGAGATCTTCCATCTGCTGGTTCACTCTCCAGTTGGCCACCACAGCTGGAGCTGTGCTGATCCGAAGCCAAAAGCCAAGAGCTTCTTCCAGTCTCCCACATGGGTGCAGGTGCCCAAGGACTTGGGCCATCTTCCACTGCTTTCCCAGGCTATAGCAGAGAGCTGGATTGGAAGTGGAGCAGCTGGGACTCGAACCAGCGTCCATATGGGATGCTGGCACTGCAGGCGGTGGCTTTACCTGCTATGCCACAGCGTTGATCCCTCACTGTCCTCTTAGTCACTCTTCCTTTCAACTAAATAAACCAATCTTAAAAACAAAAACAGGGGCCAGCGCTGTGACTTAGCGGGTAAAGCCGTCGCCTGCAGTGCCAGCATCCCATATGGGCTCCGGTTCCAGTCCCAGATGTTATACTTCTAATCCAGCTCTCTGCTATGGCCTGGAAAAGCAGTAGAAGATGGCTCAAGTCCTTGGGCCCCTGCACCCACGTGGGAGACCTGGAGGAAGCTCCTGGCTCCCGGCTTCAGATCAGCACAGCTCTGGCTGTTGTTGCCAATTGGAGAGTGAACCAGTGGATGGAAGAAGACCTCTCTATCTCTCTCTCCTTCTTTAACTGTGTAACTCTGACTTTAAAATAAATAAATAAAAATAAATAAATCTTAAAACAACAACAACAAAAAAAGAAGACAGTGAGACACAGAGAAAGAGATCTCTGTCCTCTGGCTCACTCCTCAAATGGGCCCAATAACCAGAGCAGGGCCAAGCCAAAGCCAGGAGCCAGAACTACATCCAAAGTCTCCCACATGGGTAGCAGGAAACCAAATATTTGCACCATCATCCCACTGCCTCCCAAGCACATTAGCAGAAAGGTGGGTGGGAAGCACAAAGCCCCCAGGTCTGAGCCAGGAGTTCCAATGTGATCTGCAGACCCAATCAGTGGCTTAAGCCCACCGTGCCACAACGCCTACCCGCACTGGAGAGTTCTGAGCATGATGTCACATGCTGTGGACGTCATGCTCACTGCCTTGTGGAGCCCTGACTGTGTGGGGAGGACTGGCCAGCATTCATTATGGCTCAGACCAGGAGGTTGGTGTGGAAGTGGTGACACAACAGTGAGCCTCTGGAACTGCTATTTTCCATATCAGGTTGTGCCCTGTGCTTCTACCTGATCTGATAGGTAAGGGAGAAACGAAGTCCTACACTAAGACACACTTTAATGGTGGTAACTGTGTGATGCTAAGGGAGCAGAAAGAGGCACAACTAATGTTCCTCAGGAGAAATAATGGGCTTGTCAGAGGAAGCCGCATCTGAACAGAATGCCTTGCCTGAAGAGAAGCTGAAGAACCCCTCAGACAAAGGCTAAAATGGGACTCTTTCAGATATGGCAAGTGTTCAATCAAATGAACTCTTGGGGCTGGCACTGTGGTGCAGTGCGTTAAAGGCCTGGCCTGCAGCACCGACATCCCATATGAGTGCCAGTACAAGTCCCGGCAGCTCCACTTCTGATCCAGCTCTCTGCTATGGCCTGGGAAAGCAGTGGAAAATGGCCCAAGTCCTTGGGCCCCTGTACCTACATGGGAGACCTGGAAGAGGCTCCTGGCTCCCGGCTTCAGATCAGCTCAGCTCTGGCCAATGTGGCCATTTGGGAAGTGAATCAGCGGATGGAAGACCTCTCTCCCTCTCTCTCCCTCTCCCTCTCTCCCTCCCCCCTCCCTCTCTCTCCCTCTCCCTCTCCATCCTTCCCTCTCCCTCTCTCTCCCTCTCCCTCTCTCTCCCTCTCACTCCCCTCTCTTTCTCTCCCTCTCTCTCTCCCTCTCTCTCCTCCCTCTCCTCCCTCTCTTCTCTCCCCTCTCCTCTCTCTCTCCCTCTCTCTCCCTCTGCCTCCCTCTCGCTCGCTCGCTCCCTCTCTTTTTCTCCCTCTCCCTCCCTCTCTCTCCCTCCCTCTCTTTTTCTCCCTCTCCCCCTCTCTCTCCCTCCCTCTCCCTCTCTCTCTCCCTCTCTCTCCCTCTGCCTCCCTCTCTCTCCTCCCTCCCTCCCCTCTTTTTCTCCCTCTCCCTCCCTCTCCTCCCTCTCCCCTCCCTCTCCCCCCCTCTCCCTCTCTCTCCCTCTGCCTCCCTCTGCCTCCCTCTCTCTCCCTCTCTCTCTCCCTCTCTATCCCTCCCTCCTCTCTCCCTCTCTCCCCCCTCTCTCTCCCTCTCTCTCTCCCTTTCTATCCCTCCCTCTCTCTCCCTCTCTATCCCTCCCTTTCCCTCCCCCTCCCCCTCTCCCTCTCCCTCTCCCTCTCCCTCTCCCTCTCCCTCTCCCTCTCTTTCTCTTTCTCTCTGGCTCTACCTCTCTGTAATTCTGACTTTCCAATAAATAAAATAAATCTTAAAAAAAAAAATAGTGAGCTCTTGCTGGAACTATCAAAAGAGTACCTGAGGTACCAATAGGCAAAACCACACTTCCCAATCTGAAGCTGAAAACCAAGGTCCTCTGGATGCTCTTTTCCATCCCTGGGACATGGAAAGTGTTTTAGTAACCTTTTTTTCTCTTTCTCAGACACCCTAAAGGACAGCAATGCAGACTGCTCAGCTGACCCACCCATAAACCCAGGAAGAAGTGCAAATAACTTTCCACAGATCAATGTAGATCTATTGTCTGAAGGTGACTTGCTTCTTCAGGTATTGTACAAAATTCACTGTCTAGTCCAGATCAGTAGACTAGAACCAGGCCTCAGTTTCAAAAAAAAAAAAAAGTTTTCATGGGACTTTTGTTGAATTTGTCTTTAATTAAGCATGTTGAATTTCTGGTTAAATATTCTATATCTAATTTCCCACCTGATCTGGGGTTGTGAACCTCCAAAACTGTGAGCCAAGACAAACCTTCCTTTATAGGTGGGCTGTCTTTGGTATTTAGCCGTGGTGGTGAGAAGCTGACTGACACAAACCCTGATCCTCATTGTGGTGGTATTATGGTGAGGCCTCTGAGGACGTGGAACTGGCGGACCTGTAAAAGTCCGGGCGGTAACTCGCTTGGGTCCATGTGCCCTTCTGCCCTCCACAGTGAGCATTCACGGCATTCATCTTCTCCAGAGGAGGAGCAACAAGGCACCATCTTGGAAGCAGGGAGCAATGCTTAAATCTTCTGGTGCCTTGATCTTGTACCTCTCAGCCCCTTGAACTGAGAGAAATAAATTTCTATTATTTAAAAATTACCTAGCCTAAGGTATTATACAGCAGTACAAGTGGACTAAAACAAATATTTTTAGAAATATCTTCATAGCTACGTTCTGACTGGTATTTGGTCAATCATTTGAGCACCACAGCCTAGCCAAGGTGACACATTAATCATCACAGTTTCATATTTGGGTACTTCTTAAATAGCAATCAATAAAAATTTGTTTTAGTTTCTAAAAAGCAAAACAAACAAAAAAACCAACTGGTTTTACTTGATTTAAAAAAATTGACTTCTCAGGGTCTTCCTACCTTTACCTCAAAGAAGCTATGCCTTCTGACTGTACTTCCACCTCCACAGAACCCAGGCCTCAGTCTTTTGCTGGGTGATTTAATTTGTTGTCTGTCTTGGCTGGACTGTGAGCTGCAGGGACAAGGCCATATCTTCTATGTGGATTGTCAGGGGAAAGCAATAGAGTGAAATCAAAGTTGGTTTTTGAAAACATCAACAAATTTGACAAACCTTTATCTGGACTTACCAAGTGGGGAGAGAAATAGAATATTTAAATTGCTAAAATTAGCAGTCGAAGAGAATAAAAGCCAATATTCTTTAAATGAAGAAGACATGGCCAGCACCGCAGCTCACTTGGTTAATCCTCCGCCTGTGGTGCTGGTACCCCGGGTTCTAGCCCCAGTTGGGGCACCGGGTTCTAGTCCCGCTTGCTCCTCTTCCAGTCCAGCTCTCTGCTGTGGCCAGGGAAGGCAGTGGAGGATGGCCCAAGTGCTTGGGCCCTGCACCCACATGGGAGACCAGAAGGAAGCACCTGGCTTTGGACTGCACAGTGCGCCAGCCATAGCAGCCATTTGGGGGGTGAACCAATGGAAGGAAGACCTCTGTCTCTCTCACTGTCTAACTCTGCCTGTCAAAAAAAAAAAAGTCAAAAAAAAAAAAAATGAAGAAGACATGATTCATACTTTTCAAAAGTTACATCGAAGTGTCCAGCACAGGGTCAGACTTTCCAAGGAAACATTACATAATGAACAGTAAAAAGTAAGACACATGGAAAAGATCCAGAAATTACACCAAAACTAAAATTGTCAGATTACTACTTTGAACTAGTGATTTAAAGGAACAGATAGCCATAGTAAGTAACAGAAATTTCTAAAGAGAAATAGAAACCATTAAAAAGGATAGAGAACCAAATGGAAGTTCTAAAATTAAAAAGTGTGCTACTAAAAAGAAAAATGACATGATGGGCTTCATGGCAAATTAGATTCAGTAGAAAAGAAATTATTGAACTTGAAGACAAGTCAGTAGCAACCATCCAAAATGAATCACAAAGAGAAAAATGATAAAATAGTCTCAGTGATCTGTGGTATATTGCCAAGAAATCCAATACACATGCAGTTGGAATCACAAAAGGAATGGAGAGAGAGATTGAGCAGAAAAATCTATCTGAATAAATAATTGTGGAAATTTTTCCAACTTTGATAGAAAACATAAGTTCATTGATCCATAAAGCACAGTTAACTTGAAGTAGCATAAATATGAAGGATAATGAACTGTCACACTCAGATTTTATTTTTCAGTTCTAGAATTTCCATTTGTTTCTCTCTGAAAACCAGGATAATGGATAAATAATTTATGGTGTGTGTGTAGTAGACTCAACAATAAAAAGGCATGAATCAGTGATAGATGCAACAAGATACACATGCCTTAAAGACCATACCCTGAGTTAGAGGCCGGACACACAAGTCTGTTCTGGGTTCCCTCATATGGACTTTTAGGACAGGCAAAACTAACCTATAGCGATAGCCTCATCAGGCATGGAGAGAGGAAGAGATTATTGAGAAGGGTCTGGTGGAACTTTTGGGGACCGTGGAAGATGTTTGTATTTGCCAGGAATTCATCATCCTCTATACTTAGGATTTGTGTTTTTCTATGCATATAAATTGCACCTCAGTTTAAAAACCATTATTATATACAGATTGGTACCATTTAGAACAACTCCCAAGAAGAAATAGAATGTCCAGAAGTTTTTTGTTTTCTTTCTATAAGTCTTTAAATCAAGGAGGATTTTGATGGCTTTTAAAATTATTTATTGATATGAAAGTCAGAGAAAGAGAGAGAGAAAGTCTTCCATCTGCTGGTTCACTCCCCAAATGTCCGCAGCAGCCAGCGCTGGGACAGGCCAAAGTCAGGAGCCAGGAAATTCATCTGGGTCTTCTATGTGAGTAAAGGACTTGGGCTGTCTTCTACTGCTTTTTCAGGTGCATTAGCAGGAAAGTGGAGCACCAGGACTCAAGTCAGCACTTATAGGGGATGCTGGTGGCTTACTGCACTGTGCCACAACATCAGCCCCACTTTGCTGGCTTTTATGTCTGTATCCTATAAGGCATGGCTGAGGTATTTGTTTTACCAAAAATTTCTTTTGATTTACTTGGAAAATGTCTGAAGTTATTTTTATTTTATTTTTTTAATTTATTTGACAGAGTTAGAAAGTGAGAGAGAGAGAGAGACAGAGAAAAAGGTCCTCCTTCCATTGGTTCACCCCCTAAATGGCCACTACGGGCCGGCGCCGCGGCTCACTAGGCTAATCCTCCACCTTGCGGTGCCGGCACACCGGGTTCTAGTCCCGGTTGGGGCGCCGGATTCTGTCCCGGTTGCCCCTCTTCCAGGCCAGCTCTCTGCTATGGCCAGGGAGTGCAGTGGAGGATGGCCCAGGTGCTTGGGCCCTGCACCCCATGGGAGACCAGGAAAAGCACCTGGCTCCTGGCTCCTGCCATCGGATCAGCGCGGTGCGCCGGCCGCAGCGCGCCGGCCGCGGCGGCCATTGGAGGGTGAACCAACGGCAAAGGAAGACCTTTCTCTCTGTCTCTCTCTCTCACTGTCCACTCTGCCTGTCAAAAAATAAAAAAAAAAAAAAAAATTAAATGGCCACTACAGCCGGAACTACGCCGATCTGAAGCCAGGAGCCAGGTGCTTCCTCCTGGTCTCACATGTGGGTGCAGGGGTCCAAGCACTCGGGCCATCCTCCACTACCTTCCCAGGCCACAGCAGATAGCTGGACTGGAAGAGGAGCAAGCAGGGCTAGAACCCGGCACCCATATGGGATGCTGGCGACACAGGTGGAGGATTAACCAAGTGAGCCACGGCGCTAGCCCCCTGAAGTTATTTTTAAATGCCAGTTTTATAATCTGCATTATTCTTGTACCTCCTAGGTAAAAATGGATTAATTTTTAAAATTTTCCTTCTCCATGTGCTAAGAATAATAGAGTAGAATTGAGACACATTTCCTTGTTCTTTCTAATGGCCTAAGCCAGTGGGATGGGATCTGCTGTGCCAATGGGCACAAGGGTTGAGCCTGGAGAGTCCTCCTGTTAACCAGAGGTAAGGCAGGGCCACTGACCCAGATGAAAAGGGATAATAAGGGGTGGTGGGAGTTCTTTGAAGTTCTGTTCTGACTGAATTTTATTCTCAGTGAAATGGTGAGCAAGATTGAGTGTAAGGGGAGGGGAGGAAGTATTGGTGGCTTGAGGAGAGTGAAGAAGGTGTGAATTAGTCATCCAACAGAATGGGAGAGTGGGTACACTAGGGAAACATAAAGAATTCAAGGTTGCATCAGAGCCGTTTGAGGTTCATGGTGGTGAAAACAAAACTGGAACAGTCTTCATCTGGGAGCAGGCAGGCATAGTTGGATTCAGTTATGTTTGTAATTTTTCCAACTGAGTTCAAAGAATCAAGAGAACATAGGATTTGAGGATGTATAAAGAAGACTCATTACAATGACTGATGTAATTATATGATAAGACTATAACAGAGGTTACTATCACTGATCCTGCTGCTGCTGCTGCTGTGACCATCATTATTATCAGGAGAGTGACTCTATTAGTCAGACTTTCATTGCTACAACCAAAATATCTGAGGAAATACTTAGGAAGGAAGAAGGCTTATTTTTGCTTACAGTGTTGGAGGTTCACAGTCCAAGATCAGGCAGACCATTAGTCTGGTGTCTGATGAGAGCAGAACAAAATCAAGGTGTGGATCACAGGGAAAGTCAGGAAGCAGAGAGAACAGCTGGGCCAAACATGGCTTTAACAACCAACCCTCTCCTGGAAGCCACCTTCCAAGGGCAGCTCCCAATGACCTAAGGACCTCACACGAGGCCCAGTTCTCAGAAACCATAATGGGATCGAGCCTCCACCCTTAATCCATAAACCATTAACATCAGACCGTGGGGACCAAGAGCCCAACACATAGGTCTTTAGAGGATACTCAGACTTTTATACAAACCAGAAGAGTGACCATCACGGGTCACAACTGAGGAACACAAGAACCATAGCCTCCTTTGGTTTTCTGTATCTTAACATTTTAAACCTCATTTCTAGGTAGAAACACAATTCTGCCAATCCATGAGTCCCCACTATGCCCCACACGAGCCTGCCCCTACCTCAGCCCTGCACTGCGCCCCACACGAGCCTGCCCCAACCTCAGCCCTGCACTGCGCCCTACAGGATCCTGCCCCAACCTCAGCTCTACACTGTGCCCCACACGAGCCTGCCCCAACCTCAGCCCTGCACTGTGCCCCACACAAGCCTGCCCCAACCTCAGCCCTGCACTGAGCTCTACAGGATCCTGCCCCAACCTCAACCCTGCACTGTGCCGCACACAAGCCTGTCCCTACCTCAGCCTTGCACTGCGCCCCACACAAGCCTGCCCCTACTTCTTGGAGGCCAGGGCTGTGTTTATATCTGTGGACCTCAGGCTCAGACACTCATTGAGTCAATAAGCAAGCATAGATAGGAAATTTTTACTTGGAAATGGGGGCAGGGGAACAGGGCTCAGTAGCTGTAAAGCACAGGGACCTTTTTCCTGAAAGGACTATAAAAAGCATTTCCAATGGAAACTTTAAAATTAAACTTCTCACAGATGCGGGGCTGACGGGGCGGTCCTGGTGCAGGGTGCCCTGAGAAGAGCAGGGACAACGCGAATCCTTTTCCTCTGGATTGTAGCATCTCCAGCCGTCTGGTGTTCTCTCCGGGAAGAGGGGAGCTGAGGGTGCAGACGACCGTCTGTCATTGCTGTTCAGGTTACAGGGCTCAGGACTGACCCAAGTTGCAGCAAGCTGGAGTTGACTTGCCCAGCTGCCTGGGACAGAGGCTCTCTCTACAGAGCTGGTGTGAGCTCTGGGAAACCAGACCAGCTGGGGATCTGTGTGGCGGCGCTCACACTAAGAGCAGGCGCTGTGGATGCCTCAGCCTGGACCCCGGCCCTCAGGAGCTGCACAGACCTGGAGCTACAGGCAAGTTCGTGGGCAGGTCTCACTGACGCCCTTCTCTGCCTTTCCCCAGGCCCTCAATGGCTTCCTCATGGCAGTGACTGAAGACGGCTGTGTCTTCTACGTCTCCCCCACAGTCCAGGATTACCTGGGGTTTCACCAAGTGAGTCGTCTTTGTTGCTTCAGGGCCTGCTGTGAGCCGTGTGGGGTCTTCTCTGGGGCTGTCACAGAAGAGCTGGGTCTCACCTCAGTGCCTGTGCACACACTCTGTGTGACTGATGCAAAGCTTCCCCCGGCTCTGAGAGGCAGACAACAAGGCTGCCCAGGCCCCACGCGGAGGCAGCAGGGGCAGCTGCCTCTCTTCAGTGCAGCAGGCTCCTAACGCCCATGTCCTTGTGGCAGGGACTGCAGGGGCAATTAAGTGCAGGAAGCGTGAAGAAGAATATGATTTACTGGGGATGGAGAACTCAAATGCACAGAATTCCTCCAAGAAGATGCAGGTAGAGCAGAATGAAACTGCTCACTAACGGCAGGCAAGGACAGGAAACTCATGTTTCGTTCAACCCTTCTAATGTACAACCCCCTACCCAGACTTCTCAAGGCAAAGTGGCTTGAAAGGAGTTTAACAAATGCTTTATGCATAAAGTATCCACAAAATCCAAATGAGGACAGAATGCATTAGTTCTTGGTTGTGCTCAAGTCACTACTGAGGTAGCCTAGTTCCTTCAAGATTACAGGGGGGCCGGCGCCACGGCTCACTAGGCTAATCCTCCACCTGGCAGCGCCAGCACACCGGGTTCTAGTCCCGGTCGGGGCGCCGGATTCTGTCCCGATTGCCCCTCTTCCAGGCCAGCTCTCTGCTGTGGCCAGGGAGTGCAGTGGAGGATGACCCAGGTCCTTGGGTCCTGCACCCCATGGGAGACCAGGAGAAGTACCTGGCTCCTGCCTTCTGGTCAGCGCCGTATGCCGGCCGCAGCCCGCCGGCCACGGCGGCCATTGGAGGGTGAACCAACAGCAAAGGAAGACCTTTCTCTCTGTCTCTCTCTCTCACTGTCCACTCTGCCTGTCAAAAAAAAAAAAAAATTAAAACAAACAAACAAACAAAAAAGATTACAGGGAAAAATACCTCTTTCAACAGGTAACAGATTGAACTTGGATCTCCTTGGAAATGAGCATTTTGCTCTAATTGAATTAAATCTTATTGTCAGAACAGCTGATGCCTGGCTTCCAGGAACATCTTTCTTCCCACATCCTTCTTCCTCAGAGCTTCAAGCCAACTCTTGGGCTACTCCAATGGCTTCCTAAGGGTGTTCCCATCTCAGACTGAAGATTTGTGACTTATCTCCTGGGAAGTTGCTCCTCCCTCCCCTGTACTCGAGAGGGCCACCCATTGTATTACAAAAGAGTCAAATAAGCCCAGAGGGGAATCAGGAGCACAGTGAAGCAGACAGTACCTAGGCTGGAGAGGGACTGGGCACAGGAGGCCAGGAGGCCTGGTCACCAGAAGAGAGGTCAGAGGAGCTGGACTGGCCACGACATATAAGATGAATGGGCCACACTAGCCTCTGGAGGGTAGGAAGCAGCCTGGAGTAAGACACAGTCCCTTGGTCTTTGCAGTCAGACATCATCTATCAGAGTGTGTATGAGCTGATCCACAAGGAAGACAGAGCTGTGTTCCAGAGCCAGTTCCGCTGGCATCCAGACCCAGCACCTGTCAGCAGAGCAGCGGAGCAGGACACCAGCTGTAAGTCGCCAGTGCTTGGAGGGGAAAGGGTGGAACATGGAATCAATCCTGTGTGTGTGTGTTTTGACCTTCTCAGTCCATGATGAGGAAATTAGGCCTGGCAGTGAGGCTTTCTCCGTTCAAATGTCTGCTCCAGTAAGCACTAAGGGAGCACTCTTGGCTTCCAAGCCTGTGAGGGGAAGGCAGGAGGACTGTGCATCAGGATCAGGGCTCCTGTCTTAGAACCCTCTCGTTTCTCTGACCTCATCTGACCATCCTCAATCCTCATGCGGCACGAATTTCTGTTGTTTTTGCTACCAGTAGGATGCAGGGATCTTTGAGTGTCTTGTTCACTGATAATCTCCAGTGGCCAGGACAGTACCTGAGAGAAAATGAGCACTCAGTAAATATTAGTGTCTTGAATGAATGAATGGATGGATGAATGTGCAGATGACAAGACTGAGATTTCCCTGGTGGATCCAGCTGGTGAGTGGAAGGACTCTCACCGGGGGAGAGACCTTGCTGCTCACGTGGAGGCATTCCCAACCACATCTGCCTAGCTGGTGAGTGCACGAGAGGGGTTCTCATCGTGGGTTGGGCGACTGTTGCTCTGTGGATGCTGAGTAACCAGAGACAAAAGGCAGTCTGTCATTTTCAGGTAAATGCCACTGTGTAAGCCCAGACACAGGCCCCTATCCAAGGATTTAGAGTGCGTTGAATGCACCCACACAGATGTGGGGAAAGGCTCTTCTCTGTTTTGTTGTAATTATCAGAAAAGAGTGAAATACTCCCCAAATAGAGGTTTGAGCTAGAAAAATGCAGCTGTGTGCCAATATTGACACACTAATATATTTTTTTAGTAGGAAGCCTAAAATATTAAATAAAAATAAACTTACAAGACCAACTGTAAGAATTGGTTGTGTAACTTCTCAAGACTTTTAGTTCTGACCAACTTTGGCTGCATGATGATTTTAGCCATCTTTCTCCAAACCTGCTTTCTTTCCAGATGGCCACCCATGACTCGACCTGTCAGCTGCCATCCCAGCTGGGTAACATCACTTCTCGGGAGATGTCTCTCTGCTTCCCTGTCCTTTCCCGTCAGATTATCAGCCCCTTGAAGTGAGGAGCTTTCTCAGCACTGAGCTTTGCTCCTCTGTTCTCACCCTGTCCCTGATGACTGACCAGGCACCAGAGAAGGAGCAGAGGTCACAGTCCAGCCTGAGCTGTGGCCCTGTGTGGGGCTCTGCTGAGAAACAAGCCTCAGAGTGGGTGGGGATCTTTCTAAAGCTCCCAGGTAGTCCCAGGCCAAGGCACAATGTCAGCAAAGCAGATCCTCAACTGTCACCTGGTCCTGCACTGTTTGCCCCTAACCCAATGGTTCCTTACATTTATTCATTTCTTTTTTTATATATAATTTTTTTTTTGGACAGGCAGAGTGGATGGATAGTGAGAGAGAGAGACAGAGAGAAAGGTCTTCCTTTTGCTGTTGGTTCACCCTCCAATGGCTGCCACAGCTGGTGCGCTGCGGCCGGCGCAGCGCGCTGATCCGAAGGCAGGAGCCAGGTGCTTCTCCTGGTCTCACATGGGGTGCAGGGCCCAAGCACTTGGGCCATCCTCTACTGCCTTCCTGGGCCACAGCAGAGAGCTGGCCTGGAAGAGGGGCAACCGGGACAGAATCTGGTACCGGGACTAGAACCCGGTGTGCCGGTGCCACCAGGTGGAGGATTAGCCTATTGAGCCGCGGCACTGGCCCATTTATTCATTTCTTAAAGAAGCTAGTGACTCCCTAGTTTAATTGTATTTTATATACAAATCTAAAATATTTGAGAATACCTTAAAAAATGGTCAATGGTAATGCTATGTAGATTTTTTGCTTATTATATTGAATAGATATGCACTAATATTTCTTGCCATTTGTTCAAAATGCCAATAACATTCAAAATTATCTCACTTTGGGCTGGTGTTGTGGCACAGTGAGTTAAGCTACCACATGTGGTGCTGGTATTCCATATCAGAGCACCAGTTTGAGTCCCAGCTGCTCTGCTCCTATCCAGCTTTCGGCTAATGTGCCTAGAGGAAGCAGCAGAAGATAGGCAAGTACCCCTGTCACCTACATGAGAAATCCTGATGGAGTTCCAGGCTCCTGGGTTAGATTTGGCCCAACCCCACCTGTTGTGGTCATCTGGGGAGTGAACCAGCAGAAAGAAGATCTTCCTCTGTCTTTGTCTCTACCTCTCCCTGTCACTATGCTTTTCAAACAAATAATTAAAAATGAATCTTTAAAATAAAGAAATTGGGGCTGGCGCTGTGGCATAGTGGGTAAAGCCTCCACGTGCAATCCAGCGTCCCATATTTGCCAGTTTGAGTCCTGGCTGCTCCACTTCTGATCCAGTTCTCTGCTATGGCTTGGGGAAGCAGTGGAAGATGGCTCATGTCCTTGGGCCCCTGCACCCACGTGGGAGACCTGAAAGAAGCCCCTGGCTCCTAGCTTTGGACTGGCCCAACTCCAGCCGTTGTGGCCAACTGGGGAGTGAACATGTGGATGGAAGATCTTGCTCCCTGTCTCTGCCTCTGCCTCTCTGTAACTCTGCCTTTCAAATAAATAAAGAAGATAAAAAAATTACCTCACTTTATTTATAGCATGATGGAAGATGGAATAATACCATCCAAAATAATTTTTAGTGTATTTCTATCACTTTTATTTATGCCTTGTGTTATATGGAAGGTATGAATAACAATCTTTGGTGTAGTGTGTCCTGTAGTGAATTTAAAATGCACCATTATAACCCTTACTTTCACTTTCTTGGAATTTTCTATATTTTGTCTCAATCCTCAAATAAAATATTGATTGGAAATGCCATGCTCATTTAGAAAGAGTTTCCTAAATTTTAAGCCGTAGTCACGATATCTATATGTGTGAATGTCACAGTGAGCAATAGACTTTTTTTTTAAAGATTTTATTTATTTGAAAGACAGAGTTACAGAGAGAAGTAGAGACAGAGAGAGTGGTCTTCCATCTGCTGGTTCACTCCCTAGATGGCCACAATGGCCAGAGCTGCGCTGATCTGAAGCCAGGAATCAGGAGCTTCCTCCTGGTCTCCCACGTGGGTGCAGGGGCCCAAGGACTTGGGCCATCTCCTACTGCTATCCCAGGCCATAGCAGAGAGCTGGATCGGAAGCGGAGCAGCTGGGAAGAGAACCAGCGCCCATATGGGAGGCCTATGCTGCAAGCATCAGCTTTAACCTGCTACACCACAGCACCAGCCCTGAGCAATACACTTTTGTGTGCTTTATGAAACTGGCAAGTTGAAATTAAGTATGCCCTGTTGTCCATAACAATGTAAACTCTAAAATATCGTTTAAAATTTCATGGTTTTTAATTCTTGTATACATTTATACTCCCACAGAAGCAGAACCCATGACATTATCTGCTTACATATTTATAAATACATGACAATTTTCTTCAAAATATAAGTAAAATCTTAACAACAGTGCTATAAATATGCCAGAAAATGTCTAAATATCACCCTACCTAAACCAAACTCAAGTTGATGTTTGCTTTATACATGGGTGTAGATGATATGTTCTAACAGTTATGGAGGGTGTGTGCCAGCCACTGTACTGGAGGCTGTATTAAATGAGATTAAGGAACGGCAGTAGAACTTGTAAATTCATACTTGGATTAAGCCCTTCTCTTCATTCTTCCCTTTAAAACTTATAGGGTTGCTAAATTATTCCAAACCTGACTCCCATTTTAGTCCTCCAAAGAATTTAAGTCTAGACAAATCAGATTTTCATGTGACACATGGGAAGCCATTTGGCATAAGCATTATGATTTGTCAGGTTGAGAATAGAGCAAAATAGAACATAATTGGCTTTTGCACCTTTAGACATACTAATGAAGCATGGATAACACTTTATTTTTAACCCAAGAGTTTAGCTTTCTTCCTACTACTGTCTGAGAGGACTTTCCTGCAAATTCCCGGTGTGGGAAAGGAGGAGATTGAACCAGGACCCCAAGAAATGGGAGAACAGCATTCACCACAAAAGTGCTTTCTCCTGGGAGACCATCTGGTCACTTTTCTGTGTATGGTTTTCTTTCCCTGCCAATGTGACATTATACACCCACTGTAGAAAGCGAGAATGAGAAAATCGTCATTTCTACCCAACTTAGTTCAGTTCAGTCTTCCATTTAATTGGTGTCTGCTGAGCACCCAGTATGTTCTTTTTTTAAAAAAAATATGTATTTATTTGAAAGGCAGAGCTACAGAGTGGCAGAGGCGGGTGGGGGGGTGTCTTCCATCCACTGATTCACTCCCCCATATGGTTGCAAGTCGGAGCTGCACCAGTCTGAAGCCAAAAGCCAGGAGCTTCTTCCAGGTGTACCACACAGGTGTAGGGGCCCAAGGACTTGGGCCATCTTCCACTGCTTTTCCAGGCCATAGCAGAGAGCTGGATCAGAAGTGGAGCAGCCGGGACTCAAACTGGCACCCATGTGGGATGCTGGCACTGCAGGCAGCGGCTTTACTCACTACACCAAAGCACCAGCCCTGAGTACCCATTATGTTCTAGGGATAGAGTATTGAGCAAAGGAGACAAAATTCCTATTTGATAGTTCTTAAATTTTACTGGGGTAAGAGGCCCTCCCCCAAAGGAATAAATATATAATAAGTCAAGGTGTAGATTATTTACTTATTGTGGCCTCTTGCCGCAGTCAAGAGTTAAAAAAGATGTGTGAGGCTGTTGCCAACATAACTCGGCATGCTGTTGTACAATAAGCTTTAAGTGACAGCACACAACTCTTGCTGTACATCATTTTTATATTGATCCTCATGGCACCATGAAGGCAGGCAGGCAGGCCTGTTGGCAGCATTTCATGAATTAGAAAGCCAGCCTAAGTGAGCCTAAGTGACTGATCAAGGTTGTCCTGCCAGTGAAGGACAAAGTTCACTTAGAGACAGGGCTTACAACCCTGCATTTTCTCCACCCACCAGTGGCTCCCAGAGTTGTAGACATTTCCGCCCTGTAAGGTAATGGTTCTGGTGATGTATCCTCAGTCTGTCTTTGTCCTTCCAGCTTTGCCTGGACAGAGGTTTCTCCCACTTGCCGGCACCCCCACTGACAACATGCAACATCCTCCCCTGGAGAACTCCTCCTGTCTGGAGAGAAGCTTTGTCTGCCGATTCCGTTGCCTTCTGGACAATTCTTCCGGGTTTCTGGTAATCACACAGCCTTTACAGGGGCAGGAATTTCCTGAACTAGGTATGACTCTGCTTAGGATTGGGCTAGGCCTCCTCACCACCATTGGAAAGATCTTCAGGCCTTCAGCTCACTGCCATTCCAGAGGTTTGGCCTGTTGAAGACAAGAGTTGTCTTTTGAATCTTCTTCTGCCTACTTAAGACTTGGAATATGTTTACTTGAGATTTATTACACCTGTTACTTCTGGTTCAGCCTAACTAGGAGTCCTAGGTGAACTGAGGATGTTAACATCTATCTTCTTCACCGTCACCTGCAGCTCAACTAATGCTGTGCTGTGCAGGTCTATGGAAAGGGCTATGTAGGTTAGGGCCCAATAAAGGGCTAAGATGCCATGAAGAATGAGAAGAATGACCAGGGCAGAACAGAAGAGTGAGGTGGCTCGAGGTCTGTGCATACTTGTGCTGCAGAGTGGGAGAGGGGGAGAATTCAACCGTAGACTGGGCACCACTTAATTGCATAAGGGAGAAGTTGTATCTAATGTTTTAGCTACTTAACATCCTCTTTTCTCTGTTGATTATGTTTGGGGTCTTCTTTTTCCAGGAATTGAATTTTCAGGGCCATCTTAAATTCCTCCCTGGGCAGAACAAGTCAGAGAATGACGTCCTCTCGTCTCCTCAGCTCACCCTGTTTGCTGTTGCAACACCTCATCAGCCTCTCACCATCCTGGAGCTCCAAAATAAACCATTTCTTTTCCAAACAAAACACAAATTGGATTTCACACCTATAGCCTGTGATTCCAGGTATACCCCTTTGACCAGACACCCTGACTCCTAGGGACACAATAGTGCTCCAAGACTAGTTTTGGCTCGAATCCTGACAAGAACAGTTGGCCAATACTGTCCAGATGGGCTGTGTGAAATGAGCAGGAAGCACACTGTTTATAGGTGCAATATACCAAAATTTCCAAGTCAGATATAGTGTCTGGGATAGAGTGTGATGCAGATGGCAAATCCTAGGAATTACTTGTCTCCCTTTTGGAAACTTCCATTAACATCCTAGTGAAGCCCCACAAAGTCCCAATATGAAGAAATGTCTGAACCCCCCCCCCCTTTTTTTTAAAGATTTATTTTATTTATGTATTTGAAAAGCAGAGTTACAGAGAGACAGAGAGAGACACACACACACAGAGGTATTCCATCCACTGGTTCACTCCCCAAATGGCTGCAATGGCTAGAGCTGAGCCAATCTGAAGCCAGGAGCCAGGAGCTTCTTCCAGGTATCTCACATGGGTGCAGGGGCCCAAGGACTTGGGCCATCTTCTACTGCTTTCCCAGGCCATTAACAGTGAGCTGGATCAGAAGTGGAGCAGCCAGGACTCAAACCAGTGCCCATATGGAATGCCTTCACTGCAGGTAGCAGCTTTACCTGCTATGCCACTTATTTCCAAACTTATCTAGCAGTAAAACCTTTCATGGAGGAAACATAAATTAACATGTTACAGTATCAATGTTTTGTTTTTTAAGATTTATTTATTTTTATTTGAAAGGCAGAGTTACAGAGAGGCAGAAGCAGAGAGAGAGGAAGAGTGAGTCTTCTATCCCCTGGTTCACTCCCCAAAAGGCTGCAACAGCTGGAGCTGCATAGATCCGAAGCCAGGGGTTCAGGGGCCCAAGGACTTGGGCCATCTTCCACTGCTTTCCCAGGCCATAGCAGAGAGCTGGATCAGAAGTAGAATAGCCAGGATTCTAACCAGCGCCGATATTGATTGCCGGCACTGCAGGCGGCAGCTTTACCCGCCTATGCCACAACAGCGACCCCAGTATCAGTGTTTCTTAGAATATAGTCTAGAAAATACCAGTTTAATAGCAGGTGATCCAATATACTGTTTTTATTTTTAAGATTTATTTTATTTATTTGAAAGAGTTACAGAGAGAGAGAGAGAGAGAGGTGTTCCATCTGTTGGTTCACTCCCCAGTTGGCCACAACACCTGGAGCTGCGCTGATCCAAAGCCAGGAGCTTCTTCTGGGTCTCCCACGCGGGTGCAGGGGCCCAAGGACTTGGGCCATCTTCTACTGCTATTCCATGCGATAGCAGAGAGCTGGATTGGAAGAGGAGCAGCCAGGTCTCGAACCAGCACCCATATGGGATGCCAGTGCTTCAGGCCAGGGCGTTAACCCACTGTGCCACAGCGCCGGCCCCTAATATACTGTTACTTGAATGGCTTTTGAGGTTCACCTTTTCCTGTAAGAGACTGTTCCTTCCTGTGTTTGGGAGAACTGGAATCCTGTGACAAAAGGTGCTCTCTCACAAGCACAATTTTGTATCGCGTTTCAGACTGTCTATACCCCACGGAAAAACTCCGGTTCCACAGTACAGGCAAATAAACACAGGCTTAAGGCCGAGTTTCAAACTGACTACATGTATGGCATCAGTGGCGGGGTGCTCAGTGTGGTGTCCCTAAGTATCTTGTCCCAGCCTTGCTCGTGTGAGAGCGGCGCTTTCTAGACCTGCAGTGGCCAGAGGAGGCACACTTGAGTCCAGAACGGCACCCGACGGTGGGCTCAGGGGTAAAAGTCCTGCTTCAGGGATGGCCCTGGGGCAGGGTCCTGACTGTGGGGTGGGGCGGGGCGCCTCCTTTCTGCGGATTTTCTGCTGTGGAGTTAAAGGATAAGGTGCGGTGTGTCGTCTACGCAGAGGAAAGGTGATCCTGGGCTACACGGAGAGCGAGCTCTGCAGGAAGGGGTCGGGCTACCAGTTCATCCACGCTGCGGACATGATGTACTGCGCGGAGAACCACGTGCGGAGTGAGTTCAGGAGGCACCCTGGGCCCCCGCAGCCCCCGGGAGGCGGAGGAGGGCTCGCTTCACACAGCCCCTCTGGTTCTCACCTCGCCCGCCCCCGGGGGGAAGCCTCCCCCGCCCGCCTCCCCACCCCGCCCCCGCTGAGGGCAGCCAGGCTTCCCCGCGAGCCCCGCCCCCGCCCCTGTCTCCACAGTGATGAGAACCGGCGAGAGCGGCCTCACGGTGTTCAGGCTGCTCACCAAGCGCGCCGGCTGGCTGTGGGTGCAGTCCAACGCGCGCCTCGTGTTCCGCGGCGGCCAGCCAGACTGCATCGTGGCCCGGCAGCGGGCGCTGACGTAAGTGAGGGGCCGTGTAGTGAACAAGGCCCGGATGAGGCCCTGACGTAAGTGAGGAAGGGGTCGGTCCTGAGGAGGGCGCTGTCACAGGTGAGGCCCTGACGTGAGGGAGGGGCCGTGTCCTGAACAAGGCCCGGATGAGGCCCTGACGTAAGTGAGGGAGGGGTCCGTGTCCTGAACAAGGCCCGGATGAGGCCCTGACATAAGTGAGGGAGGGGCCGTGTCCTGAACAAGGCCCGGATGAGGCCCTGAGGTGAGGGAGAGGGCCGTGTCCTGAACAAGGCCCGGATGAGGCCCTGACATAAGTGAGGGAGGGGTCGGTCCTGAGGAGGGCGCTGTCACAGGTGAGGCCCTGACGTGAGGGAGGGAGGGGCCGTGTCCTGAACAAGGCCCGGATGCGGCCCTGACGTGAGGGAGGGGCCGTGTCCTGAACAAGGCCCGGATGAGGCCCTGACATAAGTGAGGGAGGGGCCGGTCCTGAGGAGGGCGCTGTCACAGGTGAGGCCCCGAGGTGAGGGAGGGAGGGGCCGTGTCCTGAACAAGGCCCGGATGAGGCCCTGACATAAGTGAGGGAGGGGCCGGTCCTGAGGAGGGCGCTGTCACAGGTGAGGCCCTGACGTGAGGGAGGCAGGGGCCGTGTCCTGAACAAGGCCCGGATGAGGCCCTGACATAAGTGAGGGAGGGGCCGGTCCTGAGGAGGGCGCTGTCACAGGTGAGGCCCCGAGGTGAGGGAGGGGTCGGTCCTGAGGAGGGCGCTGTCACAGGTGAGGCCCTGACGTGAGGGAGGCAGGGGCCGTGTCCTGAACAAGGCCCGGATGCGGCCCTGACGTGAGGGAGGGGCCGTGTCCTGAACAAGGCCCGGATGAGGCCCTGACATAAGTGAGGGAGGGGCCGGTCCTGAGGAGGGCGCTGTCACAGGTGAGGCCCGGAGGTGAGGGAGGGAGGGGCCGTGTCCTGAACAAGGCCCGGATGAGGCCCTGACGTGAGGGAGGGCCCAGTCCTGAGGGGGGCGCTGTCACAGGTGAGGCCCCGAGGTGCGGGCGATGGGCTGAAAGGCCCCCCGCGGTGAGGACCCTGCCTGACTGAGGGGTCCAGGTAAGTGAGGGGCGATCGGAAGCAGGGTCAGCGTCTCTGCTGGGGGACGCAAGGGGACTGCGTGCTGGAGGTGTCACCAGGTAATGGGCCCCCCGCGGGCGGAAGTGGTCAGAGGAACGTTTATTCACGCGTGGAGATGGAGGAGCCTGGGAAGCCGTGGTTCCTGCAGGAGCCGCTCCCCTAGAAGCGGTTTGCTGGGAGGGGGAGGTGTCTAGGCCGCGGAGAGGGAGCAGTGCGGCCTTTCCTGCGGCACCGTGCGTGCTGCTCGGATTGTGTTCAGCGGTTTCAGTCGATCCCAGCAGCTCAAGAGAGTACATTTCAGCTTCTCTGTCCATGCGGCGGAGCCTTCATCTTACTGAATCCTACACGCTTGTTTACACCCCACACTCCTGGGTGAAGCCACCAGTCCAGGAGTCCCTGCAGGTGCAGCAGGCCTGAGTGGGGGCCTCCTCTCCAGCCGTTAGTCCCCAAGCCCCCACTTTCTCTGACTGTGGAGTAGGGAGAGTACTCCTGCAGGGACCGTTGTGAGGGGTGAGGAAGCAGACCAGCTAAGTCAGCCTTTTCCATACTTGGCCAGCAGAGTCGCACGAGAGCCTGCACGTGGCCTTAGTTTTCTGTGTGCAAGCCTCGGGTCTCTGCTTTGTGCTTAGTCCAAGCATGCGCACACACACCATGTCTTCCCCACAGTGAGCTTTGCTTCTGCAACCCCAGGTGGGAATCCTCTCAGCTTCCTGGCTCACCGATTCTCATCCTCATTGTAGAAAATTGTCAGGCCTGGACCTAAGTAGCTGTTAGCATTGAGGCCCTGGATACCAATTGTGGGGAATTTGTTACTCTGTCCAGAATTCAGTTACTGAATCTAGACTCTTCCATCAACCATATTCAGAAGAAGTTACTGTCTTCCATTGCTTTCTGCAGAAATCTGGCTGTGTGTCTCTCCTAAGGAATGGCATTCCTTCAACCCATCTTCTTCATTTGCTCACATACTCCTGCTGTGAATTTGTGCCATGTGGCCTTTTGGGAAAGGGAATCAGAGTGTCACTCTGTAGGCTTTTCCCAGTACCTCTGTTTTGCCTTGCAAAAATGAAAGTGCTCTCCTGTCTCTTCCTGGGTAACACAGGGCACTGACCATTTACTTCCAGAATCAGGATTTCCTGTTTAACCTTTCATGCCCTCTTCCTTAACAGTCTGTAACATACTTTGAAAACTGAAGCAGGTAGATAAATGGAAAGCTGCTTTTTACCTTGTTCTTTTTACCTTGCCCAGCTCTCATATGAATCTGTGGCATGCCTGTATTAAATGGACAGTCAGGATTGGAGACTGAGGGTATGACAAGCCCAGAAAGGTATCTGGCCCAGTTCTCATTTAGTGCCATGCTCTGAACAGTGACTAGAACGCCCAAATGTGCCACACATAAAATCAGCCTTTAATCTTGCTGAGTAATATCTAGATCATGGAAAAATTACAGAACTGTGTCAGCTAACTTGGATTCTGCATATGATTCCACCTGGCTTCAAAAAAGCACCTTATAATATGCCTCAGTTTACTGCCTTTCAAAAATGTGAGGGCTTTAATATTTAGTTTCTTCTTATCAGTTCTACTATTATGTGGACTTATTAAGCAAGAGATCCAGAAATCAGTGGGTTTTTTTGGGTAATGTTTGTTTAATTGAGTGTAAAAGTAATAATGGCTATTATAGAAAATTTGCAAAATAAAAAGATTGCAACAGCAAATTATTTATTTATCTTAAAGATTTATTTATTTATTTGAGAGGCAGAGAAAGAGAGAGAGAGATCATCCACCACTGGTTCACTTCCCAGATGGCTTCAATGGCTGGAGCTGGGCCGATCTGAAGCCAAGAGCCAGGAGCTTTTTCTGGGTCTCCCACATGAGTGTATGGGCCCAAGGACTTGGGCCATCTTCTACTGCTTTCCCAGGCCATAACAGAGAGCTGAATTGGAAATGAAGCAGCTGGGACTTGAACCAGCACCCATATGGTATGCTGGCTCTGCAGGTGGTGGCTTTACCTGCTATGCCACAGCACCACCCCCTACAGCAGCAAAATAAAAACTAGCTATTTTCCTAAACTCAGAAAATTATCAAAATACTATTATATTTCCTTCTAGTATGTTTTGAAGCATTTAAATTTTATACTTGTAATTATATAAGCTTTTATATCTTGCTTTTTCCACATAATAAATTAGAGCATTTTCACATTATCGAAAGTATCCATAAATACCTTTATGACTGCTCCTATATTTATATGCTGTGGCCTTTGATTACATATTGAAACGTGGGGGGGGGGGGTTCCCCATGGTTATGAAGACATTGAGATGAACAGATACTTTTATCTGTCCTGATTTCCTTAGATAAAGTATCAACAATAGATTTTTAGATGAAAGGATTAAAATATTTCAAAGTTCTTTGATACTATAGTCATACTGTTCTCCAGAGAGGTTGTACCAAGTTTTCTCTGGTCAGAATTAACGCAAAACAAACTAGCACTGATTTGTCCCAACACTAGATAGGGCAAAGAAGTTGTCAAGAAACAGACCTAGGTAACTGTATTGAAAATTAGTCACTAAATTAAAGAGGTACTTCAAGTCCATGAGGACAGAACAAGGCAATAAATGAGACTAGGATAACAGATTAGCCATTTGGAAGGTGAAGAAAGTTAAATCTCCACCTTATACCTTTTATTATGAAAACATATCCAGATATAGTGTTCTTCTTGTTAAATTTCCATGGAACAGTCCCGCTACCAGCAATGGTAGTTACTCTGCATTAACCATTTCATAAGTAACAGCTATAACTAAAACTTCTGAACAAAATATTATTTTTTCAAAAAGATGCCTTGGAGAGTTGAAGCTTGATAGAAAGAAATATCACTGGGAGAAGTTCATGGTTTTTACTTCTTTTGGTTTAAGAGTAGTCTACAGTTGGTGCTCGGTAGCTAAAAACTCAGATACAAAACTGATAGTCTTAATAACTCAGGAATCAGCAGGCAGAGATTGGAGTGACTGCACTAGCAATGAAGTGAAGAAGTGAAAGCTAGAAAGGAGAAATACAGAGAAAATGAGACCTCAAATTTCTGTGGATTAACTCATTCCAAATTTCTGTTGACCCCTGACCCATGTATGCATAGGACTTCAGTTAGACAATAAAAGACAAAACCGAATAGAGATTTCACTAGTTGCCACTGCAAGGGGAACATAGTTCACATTTTCAGTGTGGTCAGGTAAATAAAACAAAATCAGAATCTTTGGAGTAATGTAATAGAGTACAAAATCTACAGTGTAGGAGGCACTGTGGCTCACTTGGTTAATCCTCCACCTGCAGTGTCGGCATCCAATATGGGCGTGGGCTCTTTTTCCCGTTGCTCCTCTTCCATTCCAGCTCTCTGCTGTGGCCCGGGAGGGCAGTGGAGGATGGCTCAAGTGCTTGGGCCCCTGCATCCACATGGGAGACCAGGAAGAAGCACCTGGCTCCTGGCTTCGGATCGGCACAGCGCTGGCCGTGGCAGCCATTTGGGGAGTGAACCAACGGAATTGAAGACCTTTCTCTCTCTTTCTCTCTGTCTATAACTCTACCTGTCAAATTAAAAAAAAAATCTACAGTGTATCATCAGAATGTTCAATATAAAATCCAAAAATAATTGACATATGAAGAAGCAGGAAAGAATGTCTCAAAAGAAGAGGAAATCATTGGAGGCAACCCTAAGATGACCCAGATATTAGATAAAAATTTTATATAAACTATTACAATTATACTCCTAAAGGAAAATATACTTGTTATGAGTGAAAAGATAAATCTCAGCAGAAAAACAAACTAAAAAGACTTGGAGCAATATTTAAAATAATTTATTGGGTATACTAAGCAGTAGATTAGAGATAACAGAAGAGGTT